GGGAAAGAGCAAAAGAAATCCCGGATGACTATTTCGTTGTCTTGGTTGGAGACATGATCACTGAAGAAGCGCTTCCAACCTATCAAACTATGTTGAACACTTTGGATGGAGTAAGGGATGAAACAGGGGCTAGCCCCACTTCTTGGGCCGTCTGGACAAGGGCGTGGACCGCTGAAGAGAACAGGCATGGTGATCTTCTGAACAAGTACCTCTACTTGTCTGGCCGGGTTGACATGAGGCAGATTGAGAAGACAATCCAGTACCTGATTGGATCCGGAATGGTGAGACAGTTCTTGCATATCGGTATCAGTCCCGCATGTTCTTTTGGTGATCCATATCACTTGTCCATTGCTGTAATAATCTTTTTTCGTTTTTGCTTCTGTAGGATCCTCGGACAGAAAACAGCCCCTACCTTGGCTTCATCTACACTTCATTCCAAGAAAGAGCAACCTTCATCTCCCATGGTAACACTGCCCGCCAGGCCAAAGAGCATGGAGACATCAAACTCGCACAAATATGTGGAACAATCGCAGCAGACGAGAAGCGTCATGAAACGGCTTACACCAAGATCGCCGAGAAACTCTTCGAGATCGATCCAGATGGTACAATCATGGCATTTGCAGACATGATGAAAAAGAAAATCTCAATGCCAGCCCACTTGATGTACGATGGGCGGGACGACAACCTCTTTGAACACTTCTCTGCCGTGGCTCAGAGGCTTGGTGTCTACACAGCCAAAGACTATGCCGACATACTGGAATTCTTGGTCGGAAGGTGGAAGGTTGAGAACCTAACCGGGCTAACAGCTGAAGGGCGCAAGGCACAGGATTACGTTTGTGGGTTGCCTCCAAGAATCAGAAGGCTGGAAGAGAGAGCTCGAGCACGAGCCAAGAAAGGACCCAAGATTCCATTCAGTTGGATATACGAAAGGGAAGTGCAGCTCTAAGACCGGACACAAGTAAAAACCCCTCTTCCAAAGCCACGTCAGAGGTTAAAGGAGGTCTTTCGGGGTCGGTCTTCAGCTGTCTGATCACAATGAATCAGTGAAGATTACAGCTTTGTTTCTGTCGTGTGATGGGTCTGAGTTATGAAGATGAGGCAGCAGCTGTGTAGTTAGCTTTTCTGTGTTACTGTTGTCTTTTTTGTTCTTGTCAATGTGATGTAACCCGTCTTTGTGAGTTTTGTTTCAGTAGTTTTGTCTCAAGAAGTGTAGGCAACTCATGGCGTTGGCAATTTTGATGGATAAATAATTAAATTGATGCATAATCGCCCATGTCAAAAGACCCACCAATCTTAGCATATGTATATGTATATGCATGCGTACATATACATATGGTCTGGGACAGATATCGTACTGCTATACGTTCTGATCTCATGTTCTGGTTTAGTCTTAGAATCAGATTCCAACGCTTGACTGTCTTCTTCTAGATAAGTGACGCAAATTTATCCCACAAAACAAAAAGAAAATCGCAAATTCGTGGGAAAATAAAAAGGAAAAGAGGCGAAGAGATGTAGCGATTTGTTCGAGGCCATGATCAATACGAGAGAGAAATTGACAGGCACGGAGAATCGCACGTTCTGTTGTTTTCGCCAACCTTCAATGCAAATCACGCCATTTTTATTTGACGCCTTTGCTCTGCAAATTGGCTTTCCTTCCATGAAGAGGAAGAAGATGGATGAAAACAAACAAAAAGAAACCCTAGAAGATGAGGAAACTGTAACTTGAGAACACGATTGTGATGAAAGGCGACGCCTTTCCCTGTATATATACACACACAAACGGAGTGGGGGGGTGGAATTCGAAACCCTAACCCTAATTTCTTGCATTGGTCGTAGCGACGAAACTGGATCTTGTGGGCTGGGCCCATTTCTAATGGGTCTGGCCCATTATAAAAGAATCGAGGTTGTCCTTCCATGGGGTTCTATCTATTTCCTTTTCCTCTTCTTCAAGCAGCTAAAACCCTATAAAAACCCTTGTTTCAGGTCAAAAGAGAAGTGGAGAGATCTAAAGCAAGTGAAATCGGAGGTTGGAAAATGGATCATACGGCGGGTCCGTCGGCGGCGGAGCAGATTGTGAGAGAGAGAATTAGAAGGAAAGTTAACGAAGTTAGTTCCGCAGCAAGGTCTAATCTCTCTCCCGTGCAAGACCACATCAATTTCACCCTTCAGGTTCGTCCCATTTCTCGTCTCTCTTATGGTGAAAAAGGAGTAAACTTTGGCGTACCCGTCTCGTAAATGTCCTCAAATGAACAAAATTCACCATCTTCCCAGTAAAATTTTATATGGGTTTCACTGAATCCGAAGTTCTTTTCTGTAAATTTCATAACTTTGGTTATGGGATTTTTTTATATGCAGAGAGCATACTTCAAATGTGCGTACGAGTGTTTCGACAGGACAAGAACGAATGGGGAGATAAGCCGATGCGCTGAGAATTGTAGTACTCCGATCACGAATGCCCAGAACCAGTTTGAGAATGAGATGTCCCTGTTTCAAGTGAGTTACTTTTTCCACTCCCCCAATGATGTCGTGAGCTTTTAAATTTCTCTGTTATTGCTTTCTAATTTTAGTATTATTATGTTCTGTGGTTCCATTTGCAATAAAGTCTCAAAGAGGTTGTGTTTGATTCAAATTTCAGTGCTATGATGATGACGATGATGAAAGTGTTCAGAAACATAAGTAATCTCCAGCATTTCATATCCACAAGTTAGGAAATCTCTTTTTGTGGTGGAGCTTTTCAGTTGTGAATTCTATGGATTCGGAACAGGACATTGGTCTCATGATGATATAACCGACTGCTCTCAGTTCTCATCTCTTTCCTACTGTAACTTTTCCTCTTGATCCATGCAGGAAAGGTTGAACAGATCTCTCGTGGTTTGTCAAGACAAATTCGAGGCTGCTAAGTTACAAAAGACCAGAGACAAAGCCGTCGATGATTTAGAGCATTGTGTGAACCAAACTGTTGATGATAGTGTGAAGATGCTGCCTCATCTCCTTACCAGATTGAAGAAGGCACTATCTATCAGAGATTGAACTTCTGACTCAACTATTTCACTTACAGTTAGTTGTGTCTCAGATTTGTGACATCTGAAGCTCGATGCTGTCTGTAAGAACTAATCACTGGAAGCTCAGTTGGGGAGATTAAACTAATAATCACCTGAGACATGTATTATCATATTCTTATATATTATATGTAATGAAAGAGCAAGAATCAACATGAAGAGTCGGTCAGTAAGCAAGCCAAGCCTTGGATGGTAACATGGAATCAGTCCCCATTCTCTTTTGATCTTCAAACTTGACAATGGCGATAAACACGAAGTTAGAAGAAATTGATCGAAACCTATTTGATGATATTCGACCGCCGAAGTTCTCTCGAAAGGGAGGGATCCCTTCGAGCCCCACACGAACTCAGATGTTCCCCGATGCTCCGACAAGAGAAACGGTACTCTCTCCCTCTTTATACGGTAGGCTCCGGTTACTTAATGGGCCTTTATCAAGGCCCTTACTTTCAGGCCTCATTCTATTCTATGATTAATGGGCCTGTCGCGTTTTTTTTTTATCTATTTTTAAAAACTAAATTACCCATGACTTTATTAGAACTGATAAAAATGAATTATGTAACCGCAAAAAAAAAACATTTCGTTTTATTCCACGAATATAATTTCACAATTCTGTCATTTTTCTCTGATTCACCTATGGGAACAACTGTATCATTCCGGTGATTCTAAAACATTTAGAAGAGTTATTGATTTTACACACAGTAAAAAAAAAAAGGAGTCACAATTTAGAAACAATTTTCTTGTGGCCAGACGATGGACCAACGTAAAACTTTCCGGTGGGAAGATTCGCCGGAGGAAGCAAGACCAGAGCGACGGCAGCGGTGGCGGCCTCGTCGGCGGTGTGACTGCCTTCGCCGCCGGTCATGGAGGTGCGGGTGAAACCAGGGCAGAAGCAGTTGACGCTTAGCCTTTGGCCGCCGTAACGACGAGCCAAAACCCTAGAATATGCGTTGAGGGCAACCTTCGAGACGGCGTACTCAGGCCATACCTCCGGCCATCCATTCTCCTTCCACGTCCCCTTCTTCACGTCTTCCAAGAACATTATCACCGTTTCTTCTATTTGCTTCTCCGTTAGGGTTTCCTTTTCTAGGGTTTTTCTTATGCTAGGGTTCCTCAGCTTCTGCTCATCAGACGTACGAACGAGTGAATCAAATGTGAAATGGTAAAAATTCCTTACGAAAATAAAACAAAAGAACTTGCGCATGCATACGTATAACGTCCACGTACAATTACATGGTCTATAATATAACCAATCGCGCATTCATTTAGTAAAACTGTCCATTTTAATTTGGCTGTGAGTTCCATATATAAAAGAATTCAATTTTTACAAACTTTCAATGAATATAGTATGTAAATATTGTATACATATACACGAGAGAATGTTGTCTTTATAGTCTTTTTTATGTATTTGGGGCTTTATTATATGCACGTATTGGAATAAGATTTAAATTATATAATTACGCGTCTTACATCTAAGGAGCCAAGCCTGGAGCTGATGTTAAGGACGCGGCTGACGGAACTTGAACGGCGGAATAACGGCAAAAGAGCCTCCGTTAAAAGCTTGGCCCCGTAGAAGTTGGTCCTCAAGACCGTCTCTGGGTGTTGGACGGAGTTCTCGTGGATGCCGTTAAATGAAACGGCGGCATTATTCACCTGCCAGAATATAAATATATATAAGTTCAAATTTTAATGCATAAACCTTTTTTTTTTCTGGGTAACCGGGTATTCTGAACCGAGATCCAACTTAATCTCGGGGTCAGGAGTAAGACGGGTGATTGGAATTACGCTCCCTACCATGTAGAAATTTGCGGAATGATATCTTTATTCATAATCAGAATAACATATAAATATATGAGAGTCATGCATTTCACGACAACCCATCTCTCATCGGTTACTCCTTTGTACTCACCTCCTTGTATATATATACTATATGATTGTGAGATTCAAATTCGGGACGGAACTGACGATTTGAGTCTCCATTTCACCGGTTGAACTAACAAGTTGGGTTTTTAAATGCATAGACTTACCATGGACAACAAGTAAATGAATGCATAGATGTAGACATGTACATGCACATATATATGCGATGATACACATGAATATATACACACACATAATGCACATTATATATGTGGCTTACCAAAATGTCGATAGCTCCGAACTTGGTACGGAGCCAGGAGACGAAGGCGTCGATGGAAGATGGATCGGAGACGTCGAGTGTAAAGAAGTGAATGTTTCTAAAGCCGAGGCGGCGGAGAGAATCGGCAGCACGGTGGCCGTTAACGGAGTTTCTAGCCGTCAGAACGACGGTTAGACCGTGTTCCGATAATCTCTTCACCACCGCAAAACCGATCCCTCTGTTAGCTCCGGTCACGACCGCAACTGTTTCTTCCGACCACCACTTCCTATATACATACACACACATATATATATGTACATATATATGTTTGAATTCAGTTTAACGTAATGGGATTTATGGATTTACTGTAAGAAAATGAAATTTAAGATTTTTTTTATATATGCGGATATGTAGATAAGTACCTAGATGAAGACGGTGCTGGAGAAGGAGAGATTTGGTGAAGCTCTCTGTTTAGATCCATTATGTTTTATACTGAAGGAAGAACGCGATTTGGCCATGAATACATACACATGCAGACTACTTATATAAACAGATATATACATACACTCTATTTATTTATATATATATATATATATGCACGAATTGATGAGCATGTGTATGTGGACTGTGAACAGTGTGCCAAGGGAATTAGAAAATCATGTCATTAAAATATGCGTTTCTAATGAAAATTTTAAAATAAAACTGAGCACGCGCTTGAGCATATAACTGAGTATGCAACAATGTTTTTATATATAATTTAAATATTTTGTAATAGCAGAGATTGAAAATGATGGTGAGTTATTTTTCTTGATCTAAATTTAAAGTAGAAACTCGTCTATCTTTGATGCAAGCGATAGATAGTTCATTTGGCTAGGGTTCTTTATCACTTCGAATCTCAAAATTGAGCAACACCCAAATTATACCCCCATCTGACATGGTTTGGATGAAAATTCTTTGATAAATCCAAATTATTAATTTTTTTTTTGGTTAAACCCAAATTATATTAAAAGTACGTATATATAAATATAATAGGACTCCTTATCAGAAAACTTGGTGAATTATATTCATTACATATGGCTACTCGTGTATATATTTGTTATTGGTGAGACTAAATTAAAGGCTGAGTCTTTCCATATTACATTTTTTCTGAGGTCGAATTTTGACCCAAAATAATTGTTTTGAAGTTGGTTTAGGGTTTGAATTTTTAATAACATCAACTAAAATGCTAAACGTGGACAATTACATATAGTAAAATTAGAGTTCCTATGCTGTTGTAAGATTCCACGGGAATAAATAAATAAATAATATTTTAAAACCCACCCAATGAATTCTTTTACTTTCTTGGTTCACTTTTGGACCAAACTTGTACTGAATCGTATGATCACTTTGGCCGGTTGTCTCCTTAGTATTGAATTAGTTGTTCATAAATTACATTAATTAAGATTAGGCATGCTCTTGCCTCGTCGTATTACACCCACTATCGCCATTAATTTATTGCTTAAGACGCAAGGCTTTTGTTTAATATAAAAACTCAAAAGGAAGATGAAAGAAATACAAGAGGTGAGAGTTTAACCCCAAAACCCTCCTAAGGGTTTTTATTCGGATGCAGAGATGTGTTTAAACAGGGAAAGGTTCCTTCTTTGTCAAGAAACTGCGGAGAAAGGAAGGAAGTTCATTCATGGCTCAGGCTGCATTTTCTCGCATTCCTCTCTTATCGACTGGAAAAGAGGCGTCGAGAGGTATCTTTCTCCAAAGCTCGGAAACACGACCTGAAAACCAAAACCAAAACCAAATTCAGAACCCAAAACCATTGCAATCTCTGCCACTGAAAGTTATATAAACCATATTTTACTTTGAGAAGACAAAAAGGGTCATCATAAAGACACTGAATTCTATAGAAATGTAATTGCTTTAAAAGGTTTTGAAGTGTTCATGATCCCCCACCAATACCATTGGGATAACATTGAAAAATAAGCTCAAGAACAGCTTTTTCGCCTTTTTCCCGGTGTGGTCACGGATCTAGGACAAGGGTTTGGTGATGTAAAGAGGTCTACACAGGGAATCTTCCGGGCTACATGCTCTAATCCCTAACCCGGATCTGATCTGTAAACCAACTATCAGAGAAAACAAAGGTCAAAAGAGGCTGTATTTATTAAAACAGAGGTCATTAAAATTTTAAAAACAAAGGTAAGCTTCATGATTCTCACGTTGGCATGTATATATATTATTAGATAAAGAAACTCAACAATTCCCTTGTTATTTCCCAGTGTGTGGTCACATAAATGGGACTAAAGGGTTTGGTGAGGGGAGAGAGAGAGAGGGTAGGAAGAGAAGCTTCCTAGTTAAAGACCTCCACCAAGTTAAGTAATAGAAAATGGAAAGAAAAAAGCCGAGTGAGGTTGTTCTGGGCTCCCTGCTTTTCAATAGTAGGAACCTTCCCTTTACATCACCCAGCACATGTGAAAGAGGATCATAAGGAATTCTTTTCAGGATGTGTTATGATTAGACATTGACTAAGTGTGAGTTCCATTAGTTGCAAGACTCCGTCTTTTCCCGACAAGCTCGCTTTTGGAGGGTGGGTTCTGTCTGTGCATATGGGCTAATGAGGGTTCGGTTTTGGACCTAGTATTGCCGGATCAGGGCCGCACACTAAAAGAAACAGGACTTACAACTATGAGTTTCCCGGCATTCTCAGGTCTCTTTGCCACTTTGATTGCAGCAGCAGCAGCCGCTCCGGAAGATATACCGACCTGACAGGAATTGTAGTATAATATGAGCTAAAAACTTGAACGATTCCCATCAAACATTCTGAGCATGTATATCTTGGAAATACTGGAAGATTACACGGGTAAGAGAGGAAAAAACAACAACTCAGGAAACAAGGTTTGTTACTAACGACAGGTTCATCATTGAAATCCAATTGATAGTTGTAGTTAGCCCAGAGGTAGAAAAGTTCACGAGTATTAATATCGCAACTCCTCGTATGTGGGCATATCCACTTCAATTTTCCAACAAGGTTTCTTGAAATAAGTCATAACAGGAAAGACTAACCAACAAGCCTTCCTGGAGGGCTACTTGCTTTGCCGTTTCAATAGCTTCTTCACTGGATATCTGGTAAGGAGCAACAAGGAGACAACTAATAGCATGAAGATAACCGAACAGGTAAAGTTTTATTGTCAGGAATTGAAGTCTTTTCATCTTGGTCTTTCGCTACTGCTCTAAGAACGTTTTAAAGGTACGAAATCCCAAATCTCAACCTGCTTTCCTATATATCATGAGGTAAAATGGCAATTATATCAACACATGACAAGTATCAAAATACCAAATATCTTCCGGAAATGGAACAGGGGGCTGTCTAACCATAAAGAGAATCACTACACAGGCTTTACCGTTATGACTTCATCCATAATGCCCTGATCCAAATTCTTAGGTACAAATCCTGCTCCAATTCCTTGAATTTTGTGGGGTCCTGCCATGTCAAACGTGAAACTAATATGATACAAGATTATAAAAATCTATTTTATCATTGTGATGCGGGAAGGAAAAATCACTGAGGGTTTCAGTTTTTGTCGCCTTACCAGGTTTTCCACCAGAAAGTATGTCACTCTCCGTAGGTTCTATACCAATAACCTGGCACACACCAAAATCACAAAAAGAAACATGAATCTCACAGCCAATATGAATACCCTCTCTAAATGAAGCATTCGGATATGAAGACTGTTGAAATCTGCAGATAAACTACAGCAGAGCGTGATAATTTTGCTCTTTACCTTCACCCCGGGTTTTCTCTCTTTGATGTATCGACCAACACCGCTGATCGTTCCACCAGTTCCAATTCCCGCAACAAATATATCTACCTTGCCTCTAGTATCTTCCCAGATCTCAGGACCAGTAGTCTCGTAATGAATCTGCGTATTGTTCGTATTTTAACACAAACAGTTAACAGCAGTTCAAAAGAAATGATACCAGGGAATCTCACAGAAGGTAATGACCGTCCAAACTCATGCTACATGGTAATTTGTATAAGAAATGGGATCAGACAATCCTGCTCGTTGCTCACTGATTAAAAGTGAGAAGCGGAGATGGAACTCTGAAGAAAGAATTGCAGAAGAGTTTCAGAATGTTCTCTGATTTAATCTTCCACTCATCTACTCCGCCGCGTCGGAGTAGAACTAAAACTTACTAAACTTCCATGCAACAGGCCGTGTCAGGGAAAAGAATCAAACCCAACCTTTGGATTAGCAGGATTGTCAAACTGTTGAAGCATGTAGGAATTGGGAGTGCTTTTCAAGATCTGCTCAGCCTTCTGAATTGCCGCAGTCATGCCTTTTGCAGGATCTGTTAATACAAGCTCAGCTCCAAATGCCTTCAGAAGAACCCTTCTCTCCAAACTCATGGATGCTGGCATTGTCAAGATAAGTTTATAGCCTTTTGCAGCAGCAATAAATGCAAGGGCGATGCCTGTGTTTCCACTTGTGGGTTCCACGAGAACACTCTAGATACATACAGTATGAAAACGAGATCAGAAAGGGGACATATGTATGAAGGATTATCCATGAAAAAACTGACTTAACGCGGTGGCATGCAATGAAGAAAAACTGAAACCAGAAGTCACATGAAGTAAAAGGAAGCTTTTACTGCCTCAAAAGAAGACAGCTCAGCAAAACTGTATGGAAGTAAAAGAAATGGTTACAGTTGAGAAACTTCTTAATACAAGCACCAAATAGAAGCATGGTTGTAGAATATACGACGGCAAATTCATAACATCATTTCCCGCCCGGATAAAAAAAGCACACACAAATGATCAGCAAAATCATATGTTTCTTCAGGAATGTAACTTTGCCATATCCCACTGGAAAAATGTGTATCATCTGTAAGCTGCCCAACTCCTGCTCAAGTCACAAGCATGGCTATTCTAAGAATCATACCTTTCCAGGTGTTATAAGTCCTTTTTGCTCCGCATCAGTGACCATACTGTATCCAATCCTGAAATCAGTTTCGGTGAAAAGTTCAGCCATGATAGGTTCAAGCAGAAGAATCATATGAACAAGTGACAAGCAAGCAACACCAACTACACACCTATCCTTGACACTGCAACATGGTTCCATAATTTCGAGCTTGACAGCAACGTTTGCAACACAGCCCTTCACTATGTTATTCAGGTACACCATCGGAGTTCTCCCGATAAGCTGAATCATCGTGCCATAAAATTTGAGAAAATATAAGCTGAATCATCGTGTCATCAACAATGCGTCAACGGAGAAGCCAAATTCAAAAGCCTGGTTTTTCCAAAATAGATTCTCCCCGAAATGCAACAGATTTGACAATTTCGAGCCCCCAGTCAGAATTCAGCTTTCGTAAAAAAGATACATCGTGAATAAAGCAACAAGCATCATCCGACAGAAAAACCATCGCACCTGAGAAACATCCTCGGCAATGTTGAGCCGTTCAACTCCAGCCTCGGGCTCTACAGACACAGCCTTGCAGACGACAGAGGGGCCACGGGAAGAGACATTCACACGCCTCAGCCTCTGATTCTTCAGAGTCAAAGCCGCCGAGCCGGAATCGAGACCAGCCGCGGCGGAGAGGGAGACACAGGAGAGCTCCGGAGATGAACGGAGGTCACGCAGACGAGAAGTCAACGGATTGAGGAGGAGAGAAGAAGAAGATGATGAAGCCGCCATCGCCATGCCCGCTCTCTCTCTCTCGCCTGTGAATCTGACTCGCTTTCTGGAAACTGTACAGAGTTGGAAAGCAGAGAGTTTACCGATTTTCTTCTTCCTATGAAAGAAATGAGTGGTCCACTGCCATGTCGTCGGCTCATTTCGTCCTATTAAAAAATATTTTTTTTTACAATATACAGAAAAACATTTAATAATTGACATTTTGTATTTGAAGTGATAATCACAAATACATCATAATTATTAATTAGTTTTAAGAATATAGTCATGGATTACCCGATTTTGATGGTTTTTCTTACCAAATGTTCAACCTTTTACTAACGAAAAAAAGAAACTTTTTGAAGTTTTTATAAAAAAAAAAAAGTTTTTATATCGGACACCACCCATGTTTGGGAGTTCTTATATGTATATTTCATGTAAAAGCACTCTAAAATAGGTGTCTTTTGAAAAGTATTTATCCACAAAAAAAAACATTTTTTTATTAGAGAAGCATAATCTCTGAATTTTGGAGTGGAAATATCTCACCAGCCACAGCCCGATGGGGATATAGAGAACATGTTTATTGTTTAATTCCATCCCTTCCCATGTCCCAAGAGTCAATCGAATCTTTCTTTCCTCTTCAATTTAATTGTTTTAATATAAATATAAAAAACCTTTTTTTTTCTCGTTGGAATTAAATGCAGAAAAAGGTTACGGAAAGAGACTGATGACCGATTCGCAGTGTCGCATGTCATCGTCATCTCCCAGCTTCTCTCGTTTCTGTCCACTCGATTCGATTCCGATTAAGATTAGATTCGAGGTAAAAGAGAAAACCCTGCTCGCGCTGAAGATATTTCGCCTCTTTCTTTGGCGGTCGCTGTCTGAATCAGATTTTGGAGCTTCGGAGATCATCAAAGCTTTGAACTTTGGTCAGTTTCAGTTTGTAAAGCTCTGAACTTTGGTGTGTTTCTGTCCTTGATCCTTCTGGGTTCTGCAAGAAGCGCAATAGGGCTCGTGAATTTATATTGAAAATGAGTTTTTAGTGAATGGCTGTCGTCCACCTTGGAGCTTCAGAGTTTTTCGAAGCTCTGAGCTTTGGTCAGTGTTCTTAATTAAAGCTTTGAACTTTGGTCATTCTCTGCTCAAAATCCTTCTGGGTTCTGCAAAGCAGGGGAGAGGGTGCGTGAATTTAAGTTAAAAGCAAGTTCTTCATGAATTTCCCTCCATCTGGAATCTCTGTTTTTGAGGTTTGTGATTGATAACGATGGTGGTGAATTTGTTTGTACGCCATCGAGGAGCAGTTCCAGAAGTTTTTATTCGAGTTGATTAGATTCTAAAATGAACGAATGTGCATGTCTCTGACTCTGCTATTCATCGATTTCGGTAGCCATATAAACTCCATTTGCTGGGGAAGGTTGCGAACATTCTTGCGAATGACGTAACAGATCGTGGGCGAGTGGTTAAGCTTTGGGCAGGAGGTAACATCCAACTTGAGATCGATTTCTGGTTGGTGGGGAGGGAGGTAATTTCTGGGTTTATATGATCCATATACAAAGGTTGTTTCCGAACCGGAGGTTTAACTAGTCAGCGTGCCCAAGAGGTAGCAGCTAGGGATTCTTGCGAATGGTTTGATTGTAAACGCCTCTGCTTACAGATTAGATTTCGCTGCTCGCCAATATCTGAAGCAAGGATACATCATTCTAATTCACAACGTCATTTTCTCTGTGATTATCATCACGAATCACGGTTTTGTGAATTGCAGAACAAGACCCGACTTGAAGAAGAAGAAGGAGACAGAGAACAAGACCCGACTTGAAGAAGAAGAAGGAGACAGAGATTGCAGAAGAGAGGAATCCTTCTTCTGGAATCTTGATTGCTTTTGTGTTTTATCCATAGTAGTTATTGCAAGACAATAATGTTACATATATTGGGTTGGATCAATCAAAGGCTGCAACATGTTACCCTACACCATGAATTTTGTGTGTGTGTGGTTTAGTGAAAGGAGATACAAGAGGGTTGGAAAAAAATATAAGGGTCTAAAATTTTCAAACCAACCACAATCGCAAAGTTTTGTGAAGACATGAGATCAAGCTACTGTTATTACATGTGAAAAATACATCACTCAAAAAAACTCTAGATCCGACAAAAGCATTCAATAGTTTAGATGCGCTTCATACACTATTCAGATCTCTCCCAGATAGATCTGTTTATCGCTGCTGCAAGATCCGATGATGGGTTCATGTGGATGGAAGACCGACTCGTTGACCGAGCCGGTGTGGCCAGGGAGCTTGTACAGAATGCGCCTCGACGTCGTGTCCCATATGTGAACCATGCGGTCCGCGCTACCGGCCGTGACTTTGCTACCGTCGGGTGACCATCCACATTTCAGCAGGTTCTTCTCGAAATTGTGCTGGTGCCCTTCCAATACCTTCACGCACCGGTTTTGTGGGGCGTATGGACGCATGTCCCATATGCAGAGCTTGCAGTCCATGCCGTTGGTGAGAAGGTATGATCCGTCGGGACTTAGGCTCATCCCTGTTATTGTATCTTGATGGCCATCAAGTGTCATGTACACTTCGCCTTTCCGCAAGTCCCAGACTTTGACGTTATTGTCTATACCACCGGTGAAGATCTTGTCCGATGCATCGGAAAAAGATACTGCCGTGATTTGGTATTTATCCGGGAATGTTTGTATTGCACCTCTCTGACGCATGTCCCAAAGCTTGGCAGTTCCATCATCGGAACCACTGACTATAAGAGGCGGCCCTCTACGGGAAGGACAGCAAGAATTCACAAAGGACGAGTGTTCAGCCATCTTCTTGATTTGTTTCCCGGTTTCAACGTCCCATGCCCTTACAGTTTTATCGGGGCTTGCTGATACAATCTGAGACCCATCCGTGGTCCAGTGAAGATCAAGGATAGCGTTCTTGTGACCCTTCAAGACCATGAAGTTTTTGCAGTCCCCATGAACTCTCCAGAGAAAGATTTCTCTATCATGTGATCCGGAGGCGATTACAGTTCCAGCTGGGTTAAATTTCATGGTGTATACAGCACTCTGATGTCCAGTAAGCAACATAATTGGTGCTTCCAAGCTCGATGTCCGCTGCTTGCCAGGTGCTTGGGGAGTACTGTATGGGACAGTAGACCATTCCATCGGTTTTGGACCTGACAAAGCATTCTCATTCTCTCTCGCAACAATCTCCATCTTAGCCTCCTATTCAATGTGTATTATGTTGGATTAAAAAAGAAAGCAATTAGCACATGGATCAAATAAGTGGCAATACCCACAAAACAATGTGACATGAAGACAACCAGATCTCAAACATGAATCCATTACTCGCAAAGACAAAGCAGAAACAAAAGCAAACAAGCAAAAACAAGGAATCTACAGTAGCCAAAAGTACAAAGCCCAGAAAACAACCTTTGCCCTTTGATTTTGATTACAATATTTTTCTCTCAGTTAAACATAAGCTAAATTTAAGTACGAAATGCACACTCAAATGCCATATACACACCTTCTGATGAACAAAAGATCCAGTTTGCCCACATATGGAACAGCCGAGATAATTGCATCTATAAAGACGATTTTCTCAGCTATCAAGTGTACTTGGAACTGGGGTTTAAGATATAAATACCCTCCCAAAACTATCTACGGATGCATGTATCATCCACAACACCGAACAGTAAAGGGCTCAGAGGCTCAGATAAGGTTGTTAGGAACTAAAGGCCACTAGAAACCTAGATGTCCATTTCACAACCTTCTACAGAGATCTCACGGGATAAAATTCCAAACCTATATATGCCATTGAAGAGGAAGCAAACAACTCGGAGAGCTTTCCAAGTTGAGTATCGTCCAGAAGTGGAGCAACGCTAAACCCTTTGCTCATCACATAGCATCAGAATCTACCACAGATTTCCCAGACAGTCAAACCAGAACAACACCAAACAAAAAAAGAACACCTGGGGACTAAACTAGAAGCACAGGTTGCCGGATCCACTTCGGATTACATGAAACAGAGAGCAAAGCTCCAAAGGAGATGCCAACATAAGGCGATTAGCTTCCATGATTTCACAAAACCACTCCGGATAACAGAGCGAAAATGCGTGCAAAAGAAACCCTAAGACGCTCGTATCACGGTGGTAGAATACGTACCGGGATCAGATCGACAGGAAGAGATGAACAGACGCTCTCCGTCGCCGGAAATGTACGGAAACCCTAAACCCAGAGAGAAAGCTCGAGAGAGCGAGAGAGGCAATCTCTAGTACTATCGGACGGTATCACAGAACCTCGGAGGTCTATCTTTTGAAATTTCAGAACGGACCCCATATTTATTCATTATTTTCTAAATGATCCCATATTATTGTTCGGTATCAACCCCCCAGAGAGATAACCAAGAATCGATACTTACTTGCCATTATGTTTTTGAACGTTTCCTGCACGGTACAACGAAAAAGAAAGACGGGTTTAGGGGTTAAACGCAGGATATATATGCATGTCTGATAACCGAGTGAGAGCTAGTAGTGATATTACCTTGTCTTTCGTTAGTCGCGGGTTGTATTGCATCTCTTCTCTGACGGTGCTAACCTGAAGATTAGTAAATTTGCACAATAAGCAAAAGAGCAATAACGTCTCTTTCTCCTTGGACTGTTATAAGAATGTGTAAAGAATATCATTTCATTACCGAGAAACCTTTGTAGTCATGAGCCGGGTAGATCAGTGTATCCTTGGGCATTTGGGTTTCATGTTTCATATTTGGGCTTTAAGCCCATATATTAGTAGGCCCAAATTTATTGCGACGGATCTCAGCCGTGGATTACGTAGGGTCCAAGTTAGGGTTTGGTCAAATCTCATCGAGGAAACAGGACGATGTTTCCTTTGTGAAATTTATTGGGATAGAACCGTTAGATTTAACGGAGAAAACTCTTCTTTCGTATGCTTTCGTAAACGAATGCTATTAAACCGTTGTTATTAACAATATCGTCTCGAGGAAATTGTAAGTCTCTATTTAATCCTACATCGAAAAATTATATTTGAATTTTTAACAAAAAAACAGAATGAAATTTCAGGTAAATTATAAATAAGTTTTAGGATACCATATCCACAGATCAACAATCCATACATCTAAACTTCTCTTCTATTATTATTATTATTATTATTATTATTATTATTATTATTATTATTATTATTATTATTATTCCAAAAATATATTTTCTTAGTTTTTTTAGGTAACTTAGTATTATATACCAAAATCCAAACTAATTTCGAAATCGAAAGTTAACTATTTGATTTGAAATATATGTTTCCTCTCCAAATTTATAATTAGAATTATGTTTCATCAGTTGAATTATTCAAATTTAGATTTTCAATTGAATTGATTTTAGAAGCTAAATAATCTTTTGTTTAGAATAGAAATCTACTTTTCAAAATAAAAAGATATTAGTTTAGTTTCATTAGACTGCACACAAAATTAATAATAATTTTTATAGTAATATCTCCAAAACTGCTAAACTGGTTTGTAGGAGCGGAAGTTCGAAGTCGTACGAAGCTAAAAATGACCGTTGGTCGAACAAATATTTCACGAAAGTCAATCTTAGTTTAATTATTATTTTGTTGGTACATAATATGTTACATTCAACCAAAGCAAAAAAAAAAAAAAAAAAACCTATCACGGTTTGAGTACATGCAGGATAAGGTAACGTTAATAAAATAATATTAAAATACGTTACATGCCATAGTCTTTTTATAATAATTATTACATATATATATGATATTCTAACAAGATAAATAACATCATTTTATATACTTGGAGAAGAGAGAAACGACGGTGATGGAATAAGATAAGATTAAGCATTAAGAGATCAATAAAAATCCATTTGCAAGAAAGGTAATTAACAATCGTGATTAGGAAGGATTAGAGCAAGATTATAAGATTAAATAACGAGACAGTTTATAAAGGGTTATAGAGACAGCGACCGGAACCTGCTTTTTCCTTCTGTAGGATCGTAATGATCGTTATCAGATCCGTACTCAGATAAACACAGATTCTCTCTCCCTCAGATCTGTTTGACCCAACGAAAAATTTTTCATTTTTCACCGGAAAAAAGGAGAATTTGTGGGAAAAAACACAAACCTTTTCCCCATTTCCCTCGACCCACATCGGAGAAATTCGAGCTTGTCATGGACGGCGGCGGACCTCAACCGGCGGACACGGATATGACGGAGGCCGTCGGCGGCTCTGTCCCCTCAGCGGCGGCGCAGATGCCGGGGATTGAGAATATTCCGGCGATTCTCAGCCACGGTGGCAGGTTCATCCAGTACAACATATTCGGGAACATCTTCGAGGTCACCGCTAAGTACAAGCCTCCGATCATGCCTATCGGCAAGGGTGCTTATGGCATCGTTTGGTAATTTTTTTCTCTCTCTCTAGATTTAAACGCAGTATTCTCTAATTGTTTGTTCGGCTATCTCTTGATTGGGTCGGTGAAGTGGGTTCCTTTGGTGTGAAAATTTCCTTGGGTAAATGTCGATTCTTTAGTCACATCTCCAAGATCTGTTTGGTTGATAGACTTCTTGGTGGGAAAATGGCGATGTTCTCCTGGTGAAATGATGCTTCTTCGAGTTTTTTTTTTTTTTTTTTTTTTTTTTTTTTTTTTTTTTTTTTTTTTTTTTTTTTTTTTTTTTTTTTTTTTATGTAAGCTCTTTGCCAAGAACATGAGATGTGTAATGTGCTTTAAAGCCCTAATGTCTGTTCTTGATTGTGTTTTTTTTTCCCCTTTTTCTGTGGTTTTGTTGACCACTGCCACTCTATGTTCTCGCTGCTCTGGTAATCGATGGATGTGTCTTTGGATTGTGTTTTTGTGAATCTTTGATCTGCAATAAAGCTGTATGACTCTGCCCGTTTCAGCTCTGCGATGAACTCGGAGACAAACGAGAGCGTGGCCATAAAGAAAATTGCAAACGCTTTCGATAACAAAATCGATGCCAAGAGGACTCTCCGTGAGATCAAGCTGCTTCGCCATATGGATCATGAAAACGTCAGTGTCTCTATCAATCTCGCTGAGTTTTTTTTTGTTTCCTGTCCTCATCGGGTTTTCATTACTTTTTTTCCTTCTCAAGTCTCTGTTTTGGAGGTTTGAAGCTCAAAAGAAAGCTATTAGGTATCCTTTTCCCTGCCATGACGACAGTTTAGTTCATGTAAAATGGCATTACCCGAGGGTTCGAATATTCCAGTTTTGCATTATTACTTAAAACTAGTAGACTTTACGTACCATATCACGTTCCCGTTATTGCAAAAATGGTAACCAATATCCTTTTGAGATAACATAGGTATCTAAACTTCTCTTCTATTATTATTATTATTATTATTATTATTATTATTATTATTATTATTATTATTATTATTATTCCAAAAATATATTTTCTTAGTTTTTTTAGGTAACTTAGTATTATATACCAAAATCCAAACTAATTTCGAAATCGAAAGTTAACTATTTGATTTGAAATATATGTTTCCTCTCCAAATTTATAATTAGAATTATGTTTCATCAGTTGAATTATTCAAATTTAGATTTTCAATTGAATTGATTTTAGAAGCTAAATAATCTTTTGTTTAGAATAGAAATCTACTTTTCAAAATAAAAAGATATTAGTTTAGTTTCATTAGACTGCACACAAAATTAATAATAATTTTTATAGTAATATCTCCAAAACTGCTAAACTGGTTTGTAGGAGCGGAAGTTCGAAGTCGTACGAAGCTAAAAATGACCGTTGGTCGAACAAATATTTCACGAAAGTCAATCTTAGTTTAATTATTATTTTGTTGGTACATAATATGTTACATTCAACCAAAGCAAAAAAAAAAAAAAAAAAACCTATCACGGTTTGAGTACATGCAGGATAAGGTAACGTTAATAAAATAATATTAAAATACGTTACATGCCATAGTCTTTTTATAATAATTATTACATATATATATGATATTCTAACAAGATAAATAACATCATTTTATATACTTGGAGAAGAGAGAAACGACGGTGATGGAATAAGATAAGATTAAGCATTAAGAGATCAATAAAAATCCATTTGCAAGAAAGGTAATTAACAATCGTGATTAGGAAGGATTAGAGCAAGATTATAAGATTAAATAACGAGACAGTTTATAAAGGGTTATAGAGACAGCGACCGGAACCTGCTTTTTCCTTCTGTAGGATCGTAATGATCGTTATCAGATCCGTACTCAGATAAACACAGATTCTCTCTCCCTCAGATCTGTTTGACCCAACGAAAAATTTTTCATTTTTCACCGGAAAAAAGGAGAATTTGTGGGAAAAAACACAAACCTTTTCCCCATTTCCCTCGACCCACATCGGAGAAATTCGAGCTTGTCATGGACGGCGGCGGACCTCAACCGGCGGACACGGATATGACGGAGGCCGTCGGCGGCTCTGTCCCCTCAGCGGCGGCGCAGATGCCGGGGATTGAGAATATTCCGGCGATTCTCAGCCACGGTGGCAGGTTCATCCAGTACAACATATTCGGGAACATCTTCGAGGTCACCGCTAAGTACAAGCCTCCGATCATGCCTATCGGCAAGGGTGCTTATGGCATCGTTTGGTAATTTTTTTCTCTCTCTCTAGATTTAAACGCAGTATTCTCTAATTGTTTGTTCGGCTATCTCTTGATTGGGTCGGTGAAGTGGGTTCCTTTGGTGTGAAAATTTCCTTGGGTAAATGTCGATTCTTTAGTCACATCTCCAAGATCTGTTTGGTTGATAGACTTCTTGGTGGGAAAATGGCGATGTTCTCCTGGTGAAATGATGCTTCTTCGAGTTTTTTTTTTTTTTTTTTTTTTTTTTTTTTGTAAGCTCTTTGCCAAGAACATGAGATGTGTAATGTGCTTTAAAGCCCTAATGTCTGTTCTTGATTGTGTTTTTTTTTCCCCTTTTTCTGTGGTTTTGTTGACCACTGCCACTCTATGTTCTCGCTGCTCTGGTAATCGATGGATGTGTCTTTGGATTGTGTTTTTGTGAATCTTTGATCTGCAATAAAGCTGTATGACTCTGCCCGTTTCAGCTCTGCGATGAACTCGGAGACAAACGAGAGCGTGGCCATAAAGAAAATTGCAAACGCTTTCGATAACAAAATCGATGCCAAGAGGACTCTCCGTGAGATCAAGCTGCTTCGCCATATGGATCATGAAAACGTCAGTGTCTCTATCAATCTCGCTGAGTTTTTTTTTGTTTCCTGTCCTCATCGGGTTTTCATTACTTTTTTTCCTTCTCAAGTCTCTGTTTTGGAGGTTTGAAGCTCAAAAGAAAGCTATTAGGTATCCTTTTCCCTGCCATGACGACAGTTTAGTTCATGTAAAATGGCATTACCCGAGGGTTCGAATATTCCAGTTTTGCATTATTACTTAAAACTAGTAGACTTTACGTACCATATCACGTTCCCGTTATTGCAAAAATGGTAACCAATATCCTTTTGAGATAACATAGGTGTGATTTCGGGCTGGCAGGTTCTTTTGTTCAGAGAAAAAAACGGTTGTCTTTGAGATTTTCACGAATCTTTTCGATAGTTTTTTATGTGTGTGTGGGAATGAATCGAAGTCGATTGAATCCAAAGATTTACCCCTTTACCTTATCGGGTGAAACATTAATCGATCGAGAGTAATATATATGCATGCCCATGTTATTGTATTTACATTTCTTGAATTGCTTAGTAGTAAAGCTGATCATCCTCGTTCTCTCATCTACGTCTTGTTAGCCTGCACTTCCATGGAATCGAAGCTGGTTGTTGAACTTATCTTCTACACTGACTGAGCTGATTGTTCATAATGAAAAGATTGATGGGAGCCTTGTAATTGCTCTGGCAGTTTGCTTTCGACCGTTCTTTGTAAAAACTTGTCTTATTTAGGATTGCCGCTTAGTTACCATAGCTGGAAACTCTTTTTACAGCAGACATTTTCCCAGTTATTCTTTTATCGAAACTTAGGGTTTGCTCAAAGCTTAAACGGCTCCTTTCCTCTGTCCAGATCGTCGCTATCAGAGACATAATACCGCCGCCACTGAGGGAATCTCTTAATGATGTTTACATTGCATATGAACTGATGGACACTGACCTCCATCAAATCATACGCTCAAATCAAGGGCTTTCGGAAGAGCGATGTACTTTTTTACGCAAGCATGCTCGATGCTGTGTACTGTTTGATTTGTTGAGTATTTTCATAAAATACTCTTCAAGTTCAATAACCGAGTATGTTTGATAAAATAACATGGGGTGGTGATCTCTAGATTCTCAGTCAGATTTTTGCTTTTCTGTTTGGTCTCGTGCACGAATACGTTACATATATCACATGAAAACCGGACTAACTTTAATCCCATTTCCCTTTGCAGTATTTCCTGTATCAGATTCTCCGTGGATTAAAGTACATTCACTCGGCCAATGTTCTCCACAGGGATCTGAAACCCAGCAATCTCCTACTGAACGCGAATTGTGACTTGAAGATTTGTGATTTCGGGCTTGCTCGTGTCACTTCTGAAAGCGATTTTATGACTGAATATGTTGTTACGAGGTGGTATCGTGCACCGGAGCTGTTGTTGAACTCTTCTGACTATACTGCAGCCATCGATGTGTGGTCAGTCGGCTGCATTTTCATGGAGTTAATGGAACGGAAACCACTCTTCCCTGGCCGAGATCATGTTAATCAGCTTCGCTTGCTTCTGGAGGTAACTTTTCTCCTCGGCTGCATGTTATGCCGGGAAAGTTCCATTAGACATTGATTTCATACTTATACAGTATAAGTTTTGCATGACAAATACTTGAAAATGCTTTGTTACAAACGCAGTTGAAATGGGTCGTGGACTTTTTTGCAGCTCATCGGCACTCCATCAGAAGACCAGCTTGAATTCTTGAACGAAAACGCTAAGCGATATATTAGGCAGCTTACTCCTTATTCTCGGCAATCTTTCTCGGAGAAGTTCCCTAATGTGCATCCCCTGGCTATAGACCTCGTAGAGAAGATGTTGACGTTTGATCCCAGGCGTAGAATCACCGGTGAGTTCTTTCATTCCTCTGTTCCATAGTTTGAACATTTGCTGTTACGTGAAACAGTTCCGGAGGATTGAATCTCACACATAGGCAATTCACCTTCACCGAAAGAAATAAACCGATACAGAGGGTTCCTTGTTTCGTATAATTAATGAGTGGAGCAAGCTTCTTGACATGTTCTTGAACATTTTGAAGTTTGATCAAATGGTTCGCCTCCTCATCTGTGATGTGAAACATGCAGTTGAAGATGCATTAGCTCATCCATACCTGAACTCACTTCACGACATCAGTGACGAGCCAGAATGCACAAATCCCTTCAACTTCGACTTCGAGCAGCATGCACTGACCGAGGACCAAATGAAGGAGCTCATCTACCGTGAAGCACTCGCTTTCAACCCCGAGTATCAGCATTAGTCGAGAAGATTCACTAAAATCATCATCATCATCATCATGGGTGCATGCGTGGTGTTGGATCAACAACATGGTTGATCTCCTGAGAACCATTGTTTCCTTCTGTGTATAACCCATTGCACCTTTGGGGGAAGTCAAATTTTCTCTGAAAAAAAAAAGACATGTTTCAGATCCTTCGAGGTCAGACAGAAACCGGTTGCAGGATTCATTGGGCAGAAACATCAGGGACCATCATCTTGCTGTTTCTTTTCCAGTCTGTCTTTGAATTTTTTGGTACCCTTTTTTCTTCTCTTTCTTTTCCTCTGTCTCCATTTGCTGATGCAGCAGACTTAAGTTCTCAAGAACATTTTGTCATGTGCTAGTGCTACTAAGATTTATGCTGGTCTCAACTTTTAGATTCTTGAATAAATGCTGTCTTAATGTTGTCATCTGCTGTCATTCTTGAATAAATGGTGTCTTAATGTTGGTTAAATGGTAGCTCAATGGATCATGATGAATCTTGGAAGGTGGATTCCTTCGAGTGACAAGGCAGAGGCACTGTTGTCGGACAGACAATGTTCAAAAAGTCTAAACAGATAGATTATGTGAACATTGAGCAAGTTTGAGTGTCACATTCACAATCACTTACACGAGCCTGTAGCCGAGAAAATCCAACAAGGTTTATAAAATTGCAGGGGAAGAATCTTGAGTGTAGGCTGAAAAAATACAAGCTAATGTATTAAGGGGGCAGAGCAGGTATCATCATCATCATCATCCTTGGCAATATGAGATGACAAAATTTGACTTCAGATCAGACAATCTTCCTGTTATGTCAGGCTGTCTGAGTGTTAACTCTTCAGATTGCCAAAGAATCTTGAGAGAGGTACAGGACCATCAGCCTCTTCTTTGCTTTTGCTCGAGTGTTTGTCTCTAGACCTGTGCTTCTTCTCCTTCTTTGTTCTTTTAGAACTCGATCTCGATCTTCTATATTCCTCGTCATCACTACCCGATGAATCTGAGAATGAGCTCGAGTCAGAAGATCTCCTTCTTGAATGCTGTAACCAAAAAGCCATGCAAGTTGGAATAAGTGACACGTGAGAGCATACATCAAATATCCAGTATAACAAATTTCTAAGGTTTCAACAGGTTTTAGCAATTTACTAACACAAAGGAGTACAACCATGGTGATCATCTCCATTGACAAAGGTATCTTCAGAGTGAGATCTCTACTATGAGCAACAAATCAAAGGTCATTTTATTGATTATCGAGATTATAAGCACCTTTCTCTTTTTGCTCCTCTTTTTCTTCGAATCTCTGTCCTTATCTGAGAGATCATCAGGCCAATAGAGAGCAAAGATAGAATTAAAAATATCCCCCAATAAGATTAATGTTCCATGTATATAAGTTGATCATATACCTTTTTTAGATTTATCGCTAGGATGGTTCCTTCCCTTCGAGAGCTTTAGTGCCCTTTCAGCGTCCAACTGAGCTCTATATTCACGCATCATTCTGTCAGTATCTGCTTCAAGTTCCCCCTTTCTCATTTCCTCTTCCTAATATGTCATTTAATGTAGATAAAATGAGAATCATTTTCCCAAGCGCCATAAACACAATGAAAATAATCATGCAGAAGGTAAGACAATCAATATCATAAATACCAATCGTTTATAAAGATTTCTAAAATCTGGGTAACCATCCTTGGGATCATGCAAAATTAGAGTTTTATAAGTTATGTCAAAACCCTGCCATCGAAAATTATATAAGGGGAAATTATAAGGAAACAAGATTGTATCCGGGGGAACTTATTAATGAGGACAATACATCAATCAGCAACAGCATTTGAGGAAAGTGGTTGCATGATGAGATCCTCTTATTCATGAACTGACCAATATTATAAAAAATGGTCGCATTATCTTTAAAAGACAGTGCCACGACCGGCATTCATTCAAAGTTATGAAAGCCTCCTCAACCTTTTATCCTAATACTGAAGCATAGAAGAGAAAGTGACAATTGATTGCAGAGCTTACCTTTTGCTTCTTCTTAAATTCTTCCCAAGTAATGGTGTGCGAAGTCTTAAGGCTAGCCAAACGAGCAGCATGCCACTCTGGTGTATGAAATGAACCATCCACCTGCGACTGTCCTCATCAGAAAAGTTCCGGGACAAGGACTAACCCTAAATAATATGACTAACAAATGGTCAAATAAACGACGCCAAATTCCATGTTTTGAAAGCATCCATTGCACCTACCGAGCCAGATAACTCGACAGAACACAAAGACCATCCACTATGCATATTTTTACTCGTGGCGTGATCACTGATGGAAACATGATTATAAAGCCTCCAATTTCGGGTGGGACACCTCAGTTCTATACCATATATGTAATGTCTACAAGACTTTTGATTCCTTTCCTACATCTATGCCAGTGTAAGAAAGTTCTATATACCTCAACAATAGAAAACAAAAAGGAAAAAATCCCCACTGTTTATGATCTATTCTAGTTAATACAAAGTAACCATAAGACACAATTGTCCTGAAACACGAACTGGTCGCCATTTGTATGGATTAAGCATACTCGAACTCAAACAGGAACAAACTTCTTCCCTGAAAATCGCTAGTAATAGGGATATGTATACGAAATCCAAACCACGAAGCGAATATTCGAAAGGGCGGATTACACAGCTTGAGACCCATTAACGTGACGATCAAACTAGTCGAAATCGATTGAGTTTCTACGACCCATCGGAGCAAATAACGAGTGGTATGGAAGAGTACAAACCATGCCGTCTTCGATCTCCTCCGGAGCGGCGGAGCTGGAGCCGACCCTGGCTCTCTGCATAGCCTTGTAAGCTTGGTTCTTCCCCATCGCTGACGATAACCCAATCGAAAATTCCGAGAATTTCTTCCGGGGGAAAGGAAATTGAAAACAAAATCAGAGGATCTACGGAAGAACTTTTCCTGGGGGATTCAGGAATCAGGATTCGGAGTTGAAGGTCTAAAAGAGAGGATTTAGGGATCTGTAAAGAGAGCTCAGAGGGGGGAACCAGTGAGGCCGAGCCCGGCGCACAACCGCATTGCAAATTTTTTGGGGGGTCTCAATGGGATTGGAGAATTATAACCATGAAAAATAAAAAATATTTTTTTTTATATTTCTATTATTTTTGCCATACGACTTAATACTTAAAATACCTTAGAAACGTTTACATATGATTTAAGAGCCCAAACTTACGTTTTTACCAATTTTAATACATAAATTATTAAAAAAATGACCAACTAACAATTTATACAATGATAAATATCGTGTTTTAATAGTAAAAACGATGTATTTTGGATAAAACAACATATTTCTATTCAAAACAAAAAAAAAATTATCATCCGAAACATATAATTTTTCATCAGTATCATTGTACTTTTTCGAAATAGTAAATCAGCAACTAATCCATGGTTTTTAAAAATATTTGGAGATTATAACGTAAAAAATATGTATTTAACCAAGACCCAAAATGAATTTGAACTATTAAATTGTACAAGGAAAAATAATAATAATAATAATAGCACAAATATATATATATATATATATATATATGCTAATCAATATATGAATTTATTGATAGTCACTGAACTAACATAGTTCAGCCAAGTCTATTATATTTTAGCCCCAATGTGTTTTTTTTTTGTTAACTCTTTACATCACTAGCAAAGTTGTCGTCCTTTTGGGCTCTCGTATATGCAACTTTTATGTATCGACCGACAAAATCAAAGGCATTGTTGAGGTGTTTGATTATAATATGAGCCTCCTTCAACGCGGTTCTTCTTCTTCTGCAGCGTGTTCATCCTCGGCTTTACTCCCCAACCTTCCCAACCTCACAATGTCTTCCACCAGGATCCTTCCCTCTGGTTTTGTCAAATGTCGAAAAAGCAAAGGATCCTTTCCATGAATTCCGGCGAGAAAGTGGGTTTGATGATAACGGATCATCAGTTGGTAAAGAGCACGGTTTCGGTTTTGGTCTTACCTTTGTCTTTGGAGAGACTACTGATGAGCTGTTGGATGCCTTCCTTCGCCAGTGTGTCCTTTAGGTACATTGCGGCAGGCGCCACCT